AGACTACATTTGAGCCATACCTGTTTGAGTCACTGACTAGAAATACGAGAAATATGAGTTTCTGAGTGGTAAGTTGGTTATAAAACTGGGGTCTGTATTTAGACCTGTTCCCACCTGCATTGAATGCATGTAGGGATGGAACAGGATTTCAAACCAGCTGGTTGCCAGGCCTGCCGATGCACATTGAACTTCATTACACTGTCCAGGTAAGTTTTGATTCTTTTTTGGTTCACTTGAAATTTGAGGAAGGCCAAGAAAGAAAGACTGTTCTTCAGGCCTCATTATTCATGATGCATGGACATTCTGCAAGTAAAATGAGCCACCAGTCACAGCGTCTGCAGCATTTATACTCTTTACGGCATTTCCCATTTTTGGCTGGCTACTACAGTCTGGCGATGCTGATCTCCTTCAACCTCCCGTTCCTGTTGGTTCAGAATCCTTCTGTCCTGAGGTCTCTATCGTAACCAGAATTAAAAATGTAAATATTTTGGACCTATCTAAATTTATAAATAGTCCTTTAAATATTTTTGTCTTAAAATTAATACTTTTATTTTGAACCACCTTAGAGATTTTGTGGATGTAATGGTTTGATCATGTTTTAGGCATAACGTTAAAATTCAGAGAGAAACTTTCTTTTTTTTTGCCCTACGATTTGACTGGAAAGATGAGTGGAAAATAAAAGAAAAAAATACAAGAGATAATAATGTACAGGCAATAGCCCTAATTTTAACAGCTATTGAAATAAGTGTAAAGACAGACTGTTCCTGTTACTGGCATAATTGAGATAAAATATTAAACTACTACTCTGGGCAAATCTGATTTTTACTGGTTGAATTCCTGCTTTTCAACATATTCAGCAGGTTTTAAAGTCAGAAATTTAATAAAGTCATAGTAAGGGTTATGCCCCCCAGCAAAGCAAATGTTTTTGCCCCGCAATGATTGTCAAATATAAAAACCCAAGTGTTCTTGATCTTAAGAATATTAGTTAAGCAGTTATTATTTAGGGCCAGAGAGTGATAATCTGTTTTTAAAGTTATGCCAAAATCCTAGATATCAAAGATTTAAAGACTAATGCTTCAATTTTGAGTTATGAAACCTGTGTCATTTACAATCATATACCATCAGTCTTAATATGACTTTGTCTCCATAAATTTGTAGCAACGACAGTCCTCAAGAAATCCCACATTTCTTAAATATCCTCTTTATTTGTTTCTCCTCATTACAAATTTGACATTAGCTGATTACAGACAAGGAGAATGGGTAATACACTGAAATGATGCACGTAGCGTACATAAAAAAAAAAAAAAAATACCTTTGAAAATAAACGGTTTTAGAGGAGTTATTATTTAACACTTGTATTCCTAAAATGTCTTAGTGCTACTGGACTTGTTTGGACAAAAAGAAAGAAAAAAAGAAAAAAGAAAACGCTCTTCACAATCAGCAGAAGCTGTTTTGTTCCAATTTTAGATGTCATACAATACAATTAGGTAGCTAATTTACATCTTTAAGCAAAACAAACAAGAAAAACAACCCTGTTTTGGGTTCTGACATTTGATAGACAATAATAGAGCAAGAGTTTACGACTGCAGGTTCCATCACCTTCTATTTGTCTGATGAAAAACGGCATCTAAAATTAATAGTCAGTTTGTTGGTTGTACATTCTTAACTCAAAAGTGCATTTCATCTCGCCACACTGAGCATGTCTGAGCTGTCCTTGCAGGAGGAATACGTTGATGAAGTGAAGATCAGTCGGTTCTGCTCTCTATGTGGTCTCACTTGCTAGCAACTTTCTTAGGCACGAAAAAAAATGAACAAGGCACCTCTAACATTTTCTGAAACCGTAACACTGTTGAGAGTAGCAAGGTGTACACAGTAACATCCAGGTCTCATTTATTTCTGCACACTCAACCAAGCACCCTAATTCTTAGCAAAAAAAGAGATCTGAACACATAAAATAATTCACTCTGGGGTTTCCTTCGAACATTCATTATGTTGTTATAAAAAATGTGCTTATATCTACATGTAACGAACCTAACATTCTGACTGAGACCATGGGCACCATTCAGTGGGTTTGTTGGTAAATTTCCTTTCACAGTGGCAACAAAACGGTGGGACATAAATCTATATTGTTTTAAATATCCTCTCATTTCAATAAATAATGAGAACTTTAATAAAAAAAAAAGTGATGCAACACAGTGTAGAACAAAAGAGGAGTTGATAAATTAAATAAAACATTCAAAGCTACATATTTATCACCTTCTTTTACCACCTGAGTACATCTTTTGGTTCCTGGGCTGTATCCTGGTTCTGTTCTGTGCGCTGGGTGCTGGAATGTTAAGGTTAGAGGTCAAGGGATAGCAAGCAGGGAACGTGACGCTACACGGATGGTGGTGAAGCGACGGCAGAGCTTCAGGGAAATTAAAGGAGTGAAAGAAATAAGAGGCGGGACTTTTCCCGAAAGGTGTTGGAAAGATATAGCAGGTTGTGGTGGTGGTCGGTGTGTGTTCCTCGGTCTGCCTGCCCTGAAATGTCTTCCCTGCCTCACCTTCTTTAAGGATAAAGCGAGCATCAGCTAACACTCAACTGTGCAAAGCCGATCAACTTTATCTCATCCGGGATCTCTGTGTCATCGCAGCCGGAAGCCTGTGGAAAGATTTAGAATTAAATTCAAATAGTAATACGCAAACAACAGCAGTCAAAATACTTTCAGACCAAGGAAAATCAAATTAAAATCAGATTTTAAAATCTGTATTTGTGTCACTTCTAAGCACACAAACTAATTATATTCAATCAAAGTTATCCCTACAAACAATAAATTCATAATTCTTCTTTAATGCTGAGATACAGCAAGTATACCTCACTGTTATTAAAATATAAAAGAGGACAAATACATCCCAATCAAAGTAAGAATCACATGCAGAGCATCTGCACTATAGCAGGAAAGAGCACTTGTAGTAAGAGATACATTGACAAAGGAGTTTAACATACTTTACACTATTTATATACCTGAAATTAAATTGTACGAATTCCATTAAGACAAGGGGATTAACATATAACACAATATGAAATTGCTTATTTTCTATTGTCTTTAATTTTGGTGCATAAAAAAATATAATTGGCTAAATCCTTGATCTAGGGCAAATATTGGTTCTCAATTAGTTTTCTTTAAGTTATTTTCTGAATCAGTTTACAGGCTTTTTATTCCATCTGAACCTAACGGAAGCTGTGAAAAAGGACTTCCTGATATTAACTCGCATAAAAAGGATGCAGAATCATCTAAAAATATTATAATATTTAACTCAATATGCATGTAAAAGGTAGCAAATCCCGACAGATCAACTCAATCCAGACTCTGTCTTAGTTTCTTCCAATAGCCATTTGCATTAGCCTCATTACCATTTAGATGTGTCTACTTCCAGCACCGCATTTAATTATCAGTTTGATTTGTCTGTATCAACTGAAAATTATGTTTTCATTGAAACGTAGCAAGAATAAGAGTATAAATGTTTTATCCATTCACACCTTATCACAGAGAGCCTTGATTTTCTAGGCAACAGTGAGGCAGTGATGTCAGATAGGTCAGTCAATGTGAGCTCAGAGGCCAATCGAGTCTCTTGTTCACTTTATAAAGCTGCCACAGGTCCACACGCTTTATAAATTATATACATAAAGTGTTATGAACTGTCGCCCTTGTGAAGGTAATTATTGCGACTGCATGGCTTTTATGGTATTGCCCCTGTTACTCTTAGCTAAGCTGATAAGAAATAATGTGGATTTATAAGTGTGCTCAGTGAGGTGGCCTCCACAAATAAAAAGATGCTCTGGAAAACATACTAAAGGAAACTCAGCCTTTATAATGATCATCCAGAGATGTGAGCAATAAAAAAACAGCAAGGCATGGAGAGGAAAAACATGGCAGAAAGGTAAGATTGTTAAATGATACAACTCATAGCACAAATATTCTAATCTGAAAGAAAAGCATCCAGACATTATAACGATGTTTGTTCAAAAAGCTTGTCATAAAACAAAAGGGATATTGTCTTTGTCATAAGAAGAGAAAAAAGAAGTGGAAATAAAATATTTTTGTAACTTTCTTGTATGTCTCCTGCAGCATATAGAACAATTTAAAAAGTTTCTACAAGGAAACTTATTGACAGAAAGCAATGCTTCTTTTTAAGATGCACAAAGGCCAGATGTACTCTCCTGGTGCAGAGCTGTGTAGGTGTGTTGTTTTCTGTGAAGATTTATGAGTCAAGTACCACAATATATCACGCAAAAATCAATACTGAATTGGATTAGGTGCCTTGACCTGGTTCCACACTGTGTTTGTTGACAAACCAAAAGGTAGTAATTCAAGATGAGTCCTTTACCACAAAATGTAGTGAGGTTTATGAAGGCATACAGGATGACTTAAATAACTATTACATTATTTGTTTGAGAGATTTTTTTTTAACAAACTTTATAATTATTTCACTTGTAAACAAAGAGGTTTATGTAGTAATCCAGCACAGTACTTTGAACAAGAATTATATTTTTTTCCAGATTATGTCACACAGGAAGAAGACACACACATTATTGAACCATGTGGTGAAGAGGTGAGAAGTCAGGTTTTAGAAAGATTCACCACATTATTCTGAAAAGTAGGATCTGCATTTGCTCAAAACCAATATTTTATCAGACCACTTCTTGCTGCCATCAGAGCTGCAAGTCTTTGGGGATATGTCTCGACTAGCGCCGCATATCTAGAAATAAAAAATGTTCTTCTTGTTCTATGCAAAATAGCAAGAGCTTTATCAGATAATACATAAAGTATCTGTGAACAGGACTTTGTAAATCTTTTCATGTGTTTCATGTGTGTGTACTAAGACAGGTTAGCCATTTACCTCCTGGAAAGTCAGGACCTTCCTCTTAGAGCTTTTCTTTCAGAACTGTCCTATATTTTGCTCCATTCACTTTTCCATCACCTCTTAACTACAGTAGCTTAATCGCTGGTCAAGAAATAAGCTTCCCCCAGAATTAAATCCTGCATTCTATTAATGCAATATTACATTCTTTAAAACTGCAATGGATAGTTTTCTGTAGCATCAGCTCTGCTCTAATTTAGCATAAAATGTTTTCCTCTGAGTCACCCACAGAAAAAACCCAGCAACAGATGCTGATTCACCCTGGAGTCATTTGTTTTGCGAGACATCTTGCTACAGCAATGACTTCAGCAATTGCATCCTTCATCACACCATGCATCAACAGGCTGCTAAAGGGAGGGCACTGTAAGGCATCACAAAACCCAACTAAGACTGCCATCAGCCATCGGTCATGTTTAAAACTCACCAGCTTAAAGGTCAACACTTTATAGGTAATCGGGTCATCTACAATCTTTTGAAGGTTAGCAGCAACTGTAACAGAAAGAGAGAGAACAACACTGTCCAAATGAAAACATATGGAGAGTCAAATGTTAATGTCACCTGTAATAATTTTTGATTTGGAGGAATTTAAAGGGCAAATACCAAATGAAAGCATCAATTATAAATAAATCGTCAATTCCATTGTTTTTTAAAACGTGTAAATAAATGTGTATGGTCAGTTTGACACGCCACAGTAACATTTTTTATTAATTATACATCCAAATTTGAAGGATTGAAAACAAAAAGATAAGCATAAAAATTAGGTATCTTCAGTTTTATCTGCCCTGAAATGCTAGGGCTGCTGAAAACACATAGAGAAGTTAAGTAACCATGAGAAAAATGTAAATTGATCAATTTGTGGGGGAAGCAAAGTGTGTCCAGGGAAGTTTAAACATGTGATTATTATTTTGTTTGATTATATTATTTGCCTTGTTAATGATTCTTATTATAGCAGATATTTTAATAGATGTTTATGGTAAATTTGCCTTATTTATGTAAAAAAAAAAAAAAAAACACAAATTATTTGAAAGAAACAGGGTGTAACATTACCAACTGAGACGTCGAGTCCGTTGACCAGACCGGCTGAATAGAGCTCCTGGGAAACGCCATCAGCAGTGTCTTGTGAGGAAATAATAGGACAAATATTTGGCCTGCATCATTCCACTTAGCAGGTAATTGTGTTACACAGATTTGATGCTGCCCAAAGCACATTGATATTGCCCATTACGTACAAGTATCGATAGAGAGAGAGAGGATGTTATTAAAAAGGGAATTGGCGTTTAGAAAAATTCATTTAGATTGAGCTCTTACCTCGCCCACGGGTGAACTCAAACCGAATGTCATTTAGCTCCTTTTTGGAGTTCCTGGAAGAGAGAAGTATAAGTAGAAGGGTTCATTTTATCTGAAATGAAACATGACTGAGTAGTTGAAGGGTTAGGAAACAAGCGAGAAATCATGTCTGGCTGCAGAGATAAAAAGAGCATCAGCAACAGGAGACATTTGGACAGAAACACAAAGCTTCATCCTTGGATCAGATGATTTAATCAGTCTTTTCAGAACTAAAACAAAAAAAGTGACCAGCGGTCTGGCACATACAACAAGGGCCAAATCTCCTTTTACCTACTTATAAACCTTCAATGTAGACTGTGTTTTGTTATTGACATATATCAAGTTTTTACAAACCTAAAATTTTAAAACCACCATTATTTTATTATGTTGGTTTCTTAGTTTAGAGTCCCTCTAATAAGGAGGGCAGAATTGATGTAGGAGACAGTTTTTTCTAACCCTATTTACAATATCATTCATCATAAATTACATGTCCATTTTCTTGTCAAGTTTTCTTAGACTATATTCAGACATTAGTTTAGATACTGTACCACTACCCCAATTGCTTCTCAAATAGTCTTAACTAGGGGCGATGAATCCACTGACTCTCTCTGATGAGATATTGGGCTGATGCCTCTGATCTTTATGTCATCATCCTATATTGCTGCTGTTCCTTTTTTGACTCAGTTGAATTATTGCACATTTGAGTGATTTAAAAAAACGGCATAGCACAATACAGTGCCAACAGACAAGTTAAGATCATATGTCAGTAGATTTGTCAGATAGTTTGACCAAACAGATCATATTCTTCTGGGGTTTTTTTTAGAAATTTTAGTGGTAAAAAGCAAACAAAAAGATAAATCTGTTTTTAGATGTTTTGCACTAACATTAAGAGCAACTGAAATCATGTCGGATTGTGTCAGGGTTCAAAAATATGGAGAAAACTCTGAATCTCTAAACTGTAGCCACAAAATTCAGTAGCAATGTAAGTCTAAAAAAATACAGATAATTTTATTTTAATCTATTTCACTTATAAACTCTATCTTTAAATGGTCAAACAGGGTAGAAAAAAAAAATATTTACAGTACAAAGAGCGTTAACATCGGCAATGCTAATGAGACTTATGGCAAAATATTCAGCATTTGAATTGTGTTTTTTATCTGTTTTTCAAACAAAAAAAGCAACATTATATGTGTAAGTAAAAACATTCTGCATCAGATAACATCTATTTCTCACAGATATTCAGATTAAAACATCAGGATCAGAACAGAATCCAAAAACTGTAGAGCTTAGTATGAATCCAATCTATATATGAGACACAATGACAAACCTCAAACTGACTTAACGTTATTTGCTTCAAGCAACAATGGATGTCTAATATTTAAATTACCATCGTGGTGATAACAGTTGTCTACAAATCGAACACAGCTGCTGGTTGACTCAAAATTAGAAAGATCATTTATTTAGAAGCTATCATAAAAATTGCCTTCATTTATAGAGCATTTTGCAGCTCACTCTTTTGTTTATAAAAACAGTTTTAGACAGTAAACAGATTATAGGATGTAAAATAAGAGAGTTTTCCCAGTTATTTTCATCTGATCAATATAACTTAGCAGAATTTTGTGAATTCTGCTTTCTAAGTACAGACTTCCCTGTCCTGGATGCCTTTGTATTCGCTGCAGTAACCATTCTGTATATTTCCCATGTGAATCATATAAAGGGAGTATGAGCTCTATTTGGTCCAATGTTTACTCACTCAGACAAGGTGAGGGAGTAGTCACTGAACTGTAAGAGGTTATTTCTGCTTCTAAACTTGATGGATTAAATCTCTAGTGTCTGTAATCTCTTGAGTCTGAACGGTGATGCAGTGCTCCATCCATCCACACAATTGTTTGCATTTTACTTCTCTCATTACTCCATCTGTTGAATTACATGTTTAGGGCTGTTTGTAACCAAAATAACTTCTCCAAAATGCAATTCAGATGAAATCTAGATAGCATTTGAAGTAGCTGAATGTATCACTGATGTTGATTGACTGAGCTTTTACTGTGACTACCTCTTTGTGCTCTCCTTCATCTTAACTTTAATATTGAGAGCAGTGCATTGAATGCTGTTTAGTTTTGTTTCTCCCCAAGATAAGGCCACATCAGGAGTTACTACAGTAGCAGCCATTCAAAATGGCCCTTCACAGTCAAACACCAGCTGAATGGCAGCCCACTTCCCCCCAACTCCCAGTGAAATCCCCCCCCCAACTCCCAGCCACTACAGTGACCCCCTCTTGCATATTTTTTTTTAACCTGACTCCACTCTTTCACTGAATTACATGGTCTGACCGGGATATAACACTTCTCCCTAGATCTTAATGTCCACAAATCATGACAGAAAGAATATTTTAGTACAAATATTGATGTTCAAAAAGGAACTGAAGGGGGACCAGCAAAGGACCAGCCAAGGGCCCATCAAGGAATGTGGGGAAATTTTGAATGACTACTACTGTACTACAACCAGCATTTTTGTTTTTTTCTCACACTAAAAGTATCTCTGGATCTGGGATTATGTGCTTCTTCTTTGTGTTTGTATGCTCTGCCTTCTTAAACCCCCGGTACGCCATGGTAGATGGCCACTCACACTGAGTCTGGTTCTGCTGAACCTTTCTTCCAGTCAAAGAGGAGTTTTTCCTCCCACTCTCACAACATGCATGCTTTGCATGAGTGAAGAGTCTATGATAGAATGCAGGCAACACTCAATTGTTACAACATGCATCACACAATGAAAACAGTTTGGTTTCGTTAGAACTAATCTTTGTGAATGATTAAATTGATTAGACTTTTTAAAGTGCATATGACATATGTGTCTATGTTTGTGTAAAGGGGTCAACAAATATCTGACTACTTAACGCATATTTGAACACCAAGTGTGAATGTTTGTTTTATCAATATCTGCTGTTATATAAAATATGTCAGAATTTAGACTAATAAGAAGAACCCTGTGTACACTGACTTCTGAGCAGAGGCGTTTCCTGTCCTGGAAAACGAGTTGCCATTACAAGACTATGTAGACAGCGATTACTCATCCCCTACAGAACCTTCACCACAATCTTCACCACTCAGGACCTGTCCATTAAACAACTTGACTACTTTCTCCAATCTTGAGGGGTGATGTATAGCAAGTTTTAAGACAAAGTGGCCTTTTCAACATCTATTCTACAAAGTTATTGCAACTTTTCTTTTGAGGTAATGTTCTTTAACCTTGTTCAGTCTTTCTAAAGCCTAATCCCAGGAGGCGAAATAATATCACCCTGCAGCAGCTAAAGGACAACATTATAAACTGGGAGGTATCCACACCAGGATAGGCTACTCTATAGAGAAGGCGAGTGTCTTTGTTTCAGGTTGGAAAAACAGCAACAAAAACAAACAAAAAAAATTATATACCATCACAAATTAATATTATGTTGTGTCAAATACAATCTTTCCTACTTTGATGACTTTGATGGATTTAATAAAAAACATTATATAGAGCCTTTAGTGTAGAGATATCCACATGGCCCTGAGCTACTGGACCCTAAGTAATTTTACATTGCTTTAGACAACAATTTTAGCTCGGTCAGTGAACATAAGCAAATGATGCATGTTAATTTTTAAAGTGAATATAAAAAAAAATATGCCTTCCATTTTTTCATACTATTGCATAAACAAACCACATGTGTGTAAGAGAAGTCCTTTTTCAAAATTCTCCACCCTTCGAAAGATGTGCATATGGAAGCATAACCAGCAGCATGGCTGCATTTCATTGGCACAGGATGACTGGAGTATGATGGGTTGGTGTGTTTATACCTTTCTAGGTGCAGGTTAAGCATCACTTCCAGGCTTCAAAGTCGGTTTACAATGACCACGGTGAGGGTTGCTTATAGTCTGCTATTGAAAATGTTTAAATTTTTATGTTCCATGTATTAGTTACGAATCCCCCGTATGTTATACTAAAAATACAACACAATTTACATAAAAAAATATTGTATAGGTTTGTTTGCCTTTAAGATGATATTCCTAAAATAGAAGTTTTTTTTTACGCTTATTAGCCATGTTTTTTATGCTTTAGCTATTCATATTTATTCAAAGTAGGACTACAAATATACATTTTACTTCAGCGGTCTTTAAACGTTGCATAAAAGTTTTTGACAAACAAGCAATAAATATCCTGTTTTTGCTGAAAAATAAATACAAAATTATAACCAACAAAATATTCACTCAACAAACACATGTAAAAAAAAAAAATTGTATCCCTTTCTTTAAAAAAAATTATTTTAGTGTTTATCAGGCAATTAAAAATAAATAATACCTAGATCAAGTACTTTAATTCATTTAGGACCACATGGTAAAATGCTGGTACACCAATTTTAAAAACATATACTTTATGCAACTAAGTAATTTCTACTCTTATACGTAACGCAATGATTTAAATTCAGATTTTGTCATTTAATAGGCTTTAATGTTGAGGCCTTGTTTGTAAACAAATGTATTAACTTTTCTGTTTGTACCGATTTACTATTCTTGTTTTTTCTCTTTATGTTGGTCCATAGCAAACAGGTTTTCTCCTTTTTTCTTTATTTTTCAAGGGCTTTAAAACCAAAACATCAAGCAGGTGTTCAAACACTCCACTGGGAGGACAACAATAAAGGTGAGTGATAGTCCTGTGAAGTTTTGTCATTACAATCAACACCAACACATGACCTTTTAACTTTCAGAGTTAAAGCCTTAATGAATGTATTTGCTTTAAGAAAACTATCCACCGCAATGATGGTAAACAAGTTTCATTAGAAAAGTAATTAAATTTACCATAAACACAACTTCAGAAAAAATGTTATGTCGCTTACAATGAGCAAACTATGCAGGGGACAAATCTCATTAGTATTCCACATACTGATACAAATAATAAAGTAGCAGCAGTCTAATTGCCTATTATCTCCCTCAACCCTGAATCACTGATGTAAAATGTGTAGAATAAATTTGCAAACAATGTTTTATCTTATATTACACATTAA